GGAACAAATTTGGTTGTGTAAATAAAACATAGGCTACATACAAAGCCAGATAGACATTGTAAGTAATGCAAAGCAAGTGTGCTTTGGTACCCCTCTGTGTGTGTCAGTACTGCACACACAGCCACAGCAGCACTAAATATTTTGGGGTCTGTGTTTTGGGTAAGCTATTGATAAACAAGGATTTATGAATAAAGAGTAGGGCTGGAATGAAAGTCTATAAATATTATACCTATAATAACAACTGTTTGCCATAACTGCTACTGAAGTTCCCAAGTGTTGAAGGGTCTATAATCTTCCTGGGTTTTTACATGCTTAATTGCTCCTTAAATAGAAAGCTTTTCTTGACATCTAGTTTATATGCTGCAAATTAAGCCCATCATTTCCTCTTCTTCCAGAAAGGATGTGGAAGACGATGATTGTGGCAGTCTTCCCACGCACTTCTACTGAACTTGTTTGGTGCATATTCCCTTAATTTTCTCTTCTGGTAGCTAGCAGGTTCTTGTTAGCTTTTCTCATAATCTCTGTATTCAAGGCATCTTTATATTTGTTGGAGATCCCTCGGCTTGCTCTGGGTGGTTCACAGCCCTCTCATCCACCTTTGTGTATGAGTTGGGGTTTGCCAGGCAGATCAGTGAAGTATCCATAATTAATATCTAATGTAAAAGTTTGAAATTATAAGAAATAGTTTGTTCACATCTAAAGAGGGAAAATCTGAGACATACGCTTATTTACAGCCTATTCAAGTAGATGTAGGTGTTGAATATAGATCTTTTCAGCGATCAGCATTCCTTATTAATTTGCTTCCTTCAAGAGGAGGAGGAAAAATTTGATGAGATGCATTCATGTGCAAAGGGATTTCAGATTTGCTTGTAGCACAGCAATGATCCATCAGAGCTGCTGCTGACTTTGCAGGATAAAGCAGCACGGATTTTTCTCTGTGCCTGGTGCCCTCGTGTGGCTTTGATGTTCAGCTTCGTGCAAATGAATGAAATACATCACTGCACGGCCGACACCTTTGCTGTGTAAAAGGCGGAGAACAATTTGCCTGTACAGCCTTGTATGATCGCTGGAAGGTCAAAATACGCTGTTTGCCATGTGGCAGTGGGATCTGGATAGGCAAACTCCTTGAGTTCCCTAACTTAAACCAAGAGCATTTCTCAGTCTTCTCACATTGATGTGTGTGATTCAGGCCTCATTCCTCCAAGGGTTATTATGGCTAAAAAAATCTGTGCTGGAGCTGCTGCCTTCTCTAGTGGTACTGTTACAAATGCCACCATAGATCTGTTGGCACATTTAAAGAACTGTGATTTTTTTTGGTTTTCAGCTCTAATGTTAGGTCAAATTTTTATACTGTATATTGAGCTAAAATGTCAAGGACTACTTCTGTCAAGAAATAGAGTTTAAAATGTTCTTTCTCAGCTAATTTAAAATGGTCCTATTTTTCTTCCAGCTACAGCTGTGGTATGACAAAGAAATTTCTATATTTAATGCTGTAAAATATACACAGGATAGATGGGTTTTTGCACAGCATTTCTGTGTGTCATTAGAATATTTCTAAATTACTGATCTAGAAATTCCACTTTAACACACATGATTTAGCCAGAAACATTATGCAAAAAACTTTATGTAGCATATTCATTACATGTTCATAAATTATAATAACTCTTGCACAAGCAAGAGGGGAATATAGTTGCTGTGGAGACTGCCGGAGTGGTTTGATACAATGCTTTTCTTGTACTGCGTTTTCTAAAGGAGCTTGTCAAAGCTTTTCTTTACAGCAGGATTAGATAGATTTAATAGGTAAGGAAACTTTCCATTAGCTCTTAAAGACTACACATTTTAAAGAGACCTTACAGAACTTTGAGGCATTTGAAATTTTACTTTGCCAAATTTTTTGACGGAATGGCACAGAATTGACAATTCTGATTAAAAATTGAAAAAAATATATTCTTGACATCCATACTCCTATTAACAAAGCTTTGTAGGGAGTTTGAAAATTAAGATGGAGAAAGATCTGAGGCTAAAGTAGCTGAAAGCAGGCACGTGCTTTTTGTCACCTGATTATCTACCGAACACCTTCCTGCAAGCGCCAGCGTGAGGGCAGTGGTAGAGCCTCTCGGACAGTGTGTCCCCAGCACCCTGGCCTGTGTATCTCTCTAAACGTTGCGTTTCTTTTTCTCCTGCATTTTCTACAGATTCAGAATCCAGCTGTAGCTCTGAGGGACTGCATCAAAGGTTCCAAAACTTTGAACAGTTCAAGATGGTGGCAACATTGATGGCATCTCCTCCTGCTCCCTCTTCCCTCCTCTCTTCCTCTTTTTCTCCCAAATTTGAGTTATCTTAGTGTACTTCTTTGAGCTCACACTCTTTAAATTCTTTGCACCTGGGATTCACCAGAATACCTTTCCAGTTTGTCTTGGAGCACAAACACTGAACAGAGGAAGAAAGATTTCAAGACAGTTTTTTCTTTGTTCTTTCTTGTCCTTGTAGTACCAAACCTAGAGAAACTTGCATATTTTTGATGGTATCAACATTTTTCATGTTAATAATCTCACTCAGAAGTTTCCTGAGTAACATGTTAGCTCTTCTCCTAAGGTTTGAGGTAGACTAAGAAATTTAGCATAATTGCTACTAAAAATTTACATGCTACTAAAAATGTTAATATGCATGAACTATAATGCTGAGTTCGTGTACTAGAACTCTTACCACATATATATGAAATTGCCACTTATAAATGAAGCTATTTTATGTACCAAATGTTAGAATTCATGTATAGGCTCTCTAGAAGTCTTTCATAGTCTGCTGACGGCTTCTCCCAACTCCCAACAAGAGGAACAGAAACATGCAGCTCGTAGGTAAGGCCGTGTTTGTGTTCAGGAAGAGACGTGCTTGCAGAAAGCCCATGGACTGCACAGCACTCAGGGTCTGCTCTGACATCCTTGGGCTTGCATCTCTGCAGTTGAGTCTAAAAATAACCCTTAATAACTAGCACAAAGTTCATGTTATTTCATCTTCACATCTTATTTTTATTAAGATAAAATAATTTAACAGTATAAAGAAAAAAATTGGCAATATAAAAACAATCTCCAGCTATGTCATTCTTTCTGCTCTATCATTCAGAACAAAACGGTGGTTTTTGTACTGTGTCTCAGCCAACAAATACGCAATTTGCAGTGCCTTGCAATCCGCCGTTGGTGCTGCCATTCATTCTTCAACTCTATGTCTGTGCCAGCTGGGCTTGCAATACCAAGTTGAGGCAGCTGTAATTTTACCTTCTCCTTTCATTGCGTGGTGTGCGGAGACACAGCTGAGATTTACGGAAGTCTACCATAAAGTGTAGGAAAAGAACAAGCAGGTTCACCATATGTGATCGTAACCCCACAGATCAGCATTAATAATATTGTTATAAAACCCCAGCACTTGGTAAACGAGAAGTAAAGCAGGAGAATAAAAAGCCACAATTCCTTAAACTAATATTCCTAGAACCCTTGCAGTTTTGACACTGAATATCGGTGCAATTGGTGTAAGAGTTTAAAATTTTTAGAAAGGGAAAAATATATTTCATGGTTCATCCTGTATTCTGAAAGAGTAGATTTTTTTTTCCCTAACTTTTTATCTTTTAACACATTAGAATTAGAAACTGAGGTAACAGTTTGATCATGATTTTTGTTTGCTGTACCAATCATTTATGAACAGAATTTGAGGCTGAAGTTGAAGCTCTGTATGGACGACCTCAAGTCTTGTCAGGTTTGTAAGACATCTGAACACAGGAATTGTGTGGGACTTAGCACTTGTTTTCTCTCTGTTAGCTGTTTTGGCATCTTTTTGCATATATATGTCTCTTTTTCTGATGTCATATACTAGATCTCTTTGTGAGTAAGAGCTACCTGTGCATGATTAAAGTAAAAGCATTTCACAATATCCCATGTAGTTTAATCCACAAAACCCTATGCATGATTCACAATATAAGGATAGTAGAAGTTTAAGTATAGAATTTGACTGTAATGTAGAAGTGGAGTGTTTTTAATGTTTATCAGTTAAATCAAGCAAGTGAATACAGTTGGTCAAATTAATATATCTAACTATTTATTCACATAGAAACCAGTAAATTTTAGGGTTTGTAACACAAAACTTTTTGTTAAAAAAAAGAAAACAAGCTATGCCATGTAGCTTCTCTACTCTCAATAAAATAGCATCATTGCAGTTACTCAAGATTACAAGAAAAATGAAACATTCCAGATTATATCAGTTGGAGCACAATGTAATGGATATAATGAGAAAGTCCCTGTCATACATTTTACCACAAGGAAATATCAATAGCTAACACCCATATTCTCCAACTAGAAACCAAGAATATCTGAACAGATCTTGGCATAAAAGGCACAAAACACAAAGCAAAGCATGCTTGTGTCATTTGTCACAAAGAAGCATTGACATTTGTGCAACATGGGAAAAGATCGGCATTTTTCCACTCTTCCAACACTACGGATACTGAGGGAACACATCTTCCCCTTAATTGCCAGTGTATCACTCCCAGTACAGGTGGAAGCGACTACCAGGAAAGAGGAGTATATAGAAGAGAATACATCCATACTCTGCCAGGAAGTCTCAGCTCGTGTATTGAGGAAGCTGCTGCTGTAGGATCGTTAGGAGTAAATAAATACATGACAGCCTTTTAATAATACAGCCCCTGGAATCTAGCACTTGTAGGAATCATGTAAGACTGGTAAGAATGTTAACAATGCTGGAAACCCCTCATAAACACAGCTTTACCACTTGCATTTAAATGTGTGATACCAGCTCCCTCTTTGCTTCAAATAAGCTTTTTTAAAAAAGTTTTGAGTCCTTGAAGTAAGGGACTCTTCAGAAAAGAATGCTGCCTATTGCACGGAGGAATGGCTTTTCTGGTTTTAAGGTCCTTCAGAAATACAGGTCGAACTTCTGTGGTATTTCCTTCTGTAATGGGCCATCACACAAGCATCTTGGTAGCAGCCTGTTTGCTATATTTCTATAACAAGCCTATCTTCATCATCGCTGCTAGTGTCATCGTACTCAACTCTGGTTTGCTTCCTCATCATCTCTAAACCTCTCTTTTTGTACGTCTTGGAAGGTGTTGCAGAGTAAGTCTTGAAGTCGAGGGACCTGAGAGTAACTTGGGGCTTTCTGAAGGTAGTAGCAGCTGTTTCATGTGGCCTTTCATAGCTGCTTGGCTGCAGGTGGGTTCCGTACTTGTCTGTGCTTCTCTGAAGGTCAAGGATTTTTTGAGAAAAGTTTGCCCACTCTGGGAATGCTGTATTGGGTAATTTAGCCCTTGTGACGGACTCGGGAAGAGGCTCTGCTTTTGATCCTAATAAACGTGAGCATCCAGGCTGGGAACTGGGAGCTGAGTTTTCTTTTGGAGATGAATATGTGTTTTCTTCCATTGGAGGTTTCTCCTTTCCTGAGGCCTGGATCACCAGGTCTAATGCACTGGGTCTTTGATTCTCTGACTCTGTGTCTAGTGTGTGTTCCTGGCTTGGTCCGTGGTGTAAGGAAAGAGGACGAGTAGTCGCTGAGTTTGTGCTGTCAAGTTGGTCACCTGTGCCTGTATTTGTAAAATTGAACAGGCAAGACCGGAAAGAAGGTGTCATCGAGTCACTCTGAACGTTCGGCTGTGACTCCCCTGGCACTGATCGCTGAAGCACAAGTGGTCGTGACACAAAACAGCAGATTTCCACATCACTGCCGACTTGCTGCATGGCTGTATTAGCTGTGGATGGAAAGGAATGAGCTATCATAGATATTTCCAGAGGAGCTGTAGTGCTCTGAAAAGAGAAGCTTGCTCCTGTGTGCTCCCTGATTTGCCCAGAAATATCCTGTAGAAAATAGGGGGAAAAAAGAAATTTATATTTATAATTTTCAATCCAGAGCAATTCCATCCTTCATAAATGTGCAATGATAACTAAGTTAACTATATCAGTAGAAAACATTTACCTCTGCTATAACTCTTACCAACTGAGTAATTAAGCACAATGTCAACCTTTATTTACACAACTTTTTTTTTCCATTACTTCAGATGAAGTTACATCTGTTTTCTCCCAGTCTGTGTGGAGGTGTAGCAAAGGATGTATTTTTTCCTCAGGCATTTCCTTCTGGATTAGGTAACAGACCATGCTAATAATTTACAGATTATAGGGGTTAGCGGTTTCAAGCTGCATTCTTACATACTGTCTAGGAAGACGTGCTTTTCATTAAGATATTTTAACATACATATTGCAACGATGTTTGTGCAACGTAGAAGGAAAGGTTTGTGTTAAGTCTGTAAGAAATATTACCATGTCAGAGGTTGTGAGATACCAGGGAGCAAGTGTTCATGCCCCTGTACTCAGCACTGGTGAAGCAGCATCTTGAATCCTGTGTTCAGGTTTGGACTCCTCATTCCAACAAGGACATTGAGGGGCTGGAGCGTGTCCAGAGAAGGGCAACAAAGCTGGTGAGGGATCCGGAGCTCAAGAATTATGGGGAGTGGCTGAGGGAACTGGGGGGGTTCAGCCTGGAGGAAGCTGAAGGGAGACCTTAACACCCTCTACAGCTACCTGAAAGGGGGGGATGGTCTCTTCTCTCAGGTAAAAGTGATGGGACAAGAGGAAATGGCCTCAAGGTTCACCAGGGGAGGGTTAGATTGGATATTAGTTAAAAATTATTTACTGAAAGAGCCTTCAAACACTGGAAGGGGCTGCCCAGGGAGGTGGTAGAGTCACCATCCCTGGAGGTGTTCAAAAACCATGTGGATGTGGCACTTTGGGACATGGTTTAGTGGGCATGGTGGGGTTGTGTTGACGGTTGGACTTGATGATATTAGAGGGCTTTTCCAACCTTAATGATTCTGTGATTGTGTGTAGGAAATAAAATTCCTTAGTTAAAAAAACCCCAAACAACAACACTTCAAGGATTAGGTTCCTGCTTATGATACTGCTTATGCTACATGAAGAACCAGTGTTCATGCTGCATAACAGCAGCCTGGCTCAGTAGCTTTTGTCTTCAAGTGTGGCCAGTGTTTAGGGAAAAGCGTAATTAGGGTGAGCATAGGATTGTCCCAGAACCACGCTGACACTGCACACAGCAGCGTTGTTTGCAGCACATGCAGATATGTCCAGGTACCCTCCCAGCCAGCGCAGCTATCGGCAGCACTGGAACCACAGCAGCACTGGCTTCCACGAAGGGCTAAAGAAACTCAGTTGTGACACTGCATACGCATTCCTCCCACTGCTCCAGAGCCATTGCTGTCTTCCATGCTTTTCTAGTTTCAAGCTTACTGGCTCTGTCTCAGGGTACTCTGTGTAACATGTGCTGGCACTTCCAACGTCAGTGCTTATGGATCCTCTGACAGCAAGCGTGAGACGTATCCTTTTCAATGGGTGCAAGTTTAATTATTCTTTTAAAAAAGCTAATTCTAACATTAGCAACTTTTCATTCTATTCTGACCCAAAAAATAGCTTTAACACATTTTTAAACAAAATTTGTGATCCAAAGTAGTCTCAATTTGAACTTTAAAACAGCTGAATACAATTCAAGTTTCAATTACCAATGTATTTTTTCTTTTAGTAAGAAATAATATATGAATTAAGGTACAATACCTACTTTTTCATCCATTCTGTCTTTTTTTTTAACATGGTTTAGATTTTCAGCATGGGAAAATATTCCTGACTTATTCTTCCCTTCTTTTTTCCTTCTGCAAAGTGGCTTGTCTGAGGTGGAACAAGATGTGTCTTTTTGCTGGTGTAGGTAATTTTCTGTTGAAAAGAGGTTGAAGAAACTTTTACTTTGATTTTTATTCCCTCATTTACTAAACTTCCTAAATTTCTCATAATGTCACTGAACTAACTTCTATTTTTTTACTATTTAATATAAATTTTTATTCTAAGCCTGATATATTTTCTCATTATCTGCAGATGTGTTTGGATTTGGGGGTTTTTCTATTGGCCAGTAATGCCCTGCAAAGGAATAACTATTCTTATCTGCATGAACGGACACAAGGTATTGTTCCTGCTTCCAAGATGGTTGTGGCATAAACATAATTTGCATTAATACCCCTAATTAAACTGTGGTGGTGGTCACTGAAACACAGGAAGCAAGTCAACGCACCAGACTCATTTCGCACTGCGAACATACAATCTTGCTTCAGAAACATAAAAATCCATCTTAAAACTGTTTAGGCTTCTAGTGGAAGGTTATTTTGAGTTATTTCTTTTTAAAACATCCTCCTAATTGTCAAATTCACATTTGCAAGTACATGTATGAGAATCATGGTGCGTCCAGTTCGGAAAATGTGTGAGGTGTTTGTATTTTGACTCGCAGAATGTCCTGAAGCCCAACAGTGTTTTTGCACTTCCGTGTTAGAGATACTGCTAATGTTCATTCTCTTAAAAAATAAACATTCAATAGATTAAAAGATATTCCAAATACTTACCTTGTAGCTTTGACTGAGGAGAATGGCAGCTCTTATTAAATTTACAGGGTTGTGATGAAAAGCCCTTTTTCAAAGCATTCAGTGTTCTGTTTGGAAAACAGTGCCGCTTGCTTAGACGGTTCATTTTCCACTGAGCGTATCCATGTGTGTGTCTCCCTCTGTACCTGCATTGCCAGTGGCATTGAAAGGGTAAACAGGTGTGTGGGATTTAAAAGCAGCCAGAGCAGAATAATACCACATCATCAGGTAAATTTAAGCCTAACAGCAATTTACTACTGTGGAGGAGATTTGTTTATGTCAACTCAAAAGAAAACCAGGAGACCCACAATTACTTTAATTAGATTTTTCCTCAGTAGGATTCAGTAAACCCTTGGTTTGGTACAAGAAAAGGATTCAGGAATAAAGGATCCTTTTTCCTGTATCTGGAATTTTAAAACTGCATACTTCATAAAGACTTGAATCACCTGAGACTGCATAGTTGTTGGCTTTTTTACTTTTCACTTCACTTCTTATGTGCTACCTGTTCATCGTCACTACTTAACAACAGAGTTATTTCAGTTATTTAGAAAACTGATAGGGAATTATCTAACGCTGCTTTGGTTTCGACTCTAGCCAGATCTTTCAGTAACTCAGTGATTGAGGCTAAAGTACATTGGAAGGTCCCATTCCTATACTGATAGAATATTCTGTGTACATACTCTGTGTATACTGATACACAGAGCAATAAGTGAATCTAAAAGAGTGTGCTTATTCAGGTGTTGGGTGTATTGGGAAAATGTATCTCATGATCAACACAGTGGCCAGTTAGCTACTAATATTTGTAGCCTGAGCTTTCAGGACCCTGTATTCAACTGAGTCCCTGCAGTCATTTGATACACCCAAATAAATAAATTCTGACACCAACAGGTGAAAACAAACAAGCAAACAAACAAACCACCACCACTCCAAAAACCCAGAAAACCACCCGAAAACCAAACTAGAAAAATGTCCTAGAAGAATGTCACCAGACCAGATAACCTAGACCTCTGTCTTGTTTTTGTTCTTATGACCCTTCAAAATTGCAGTGCTCTTGCCAAGCTGGACACGGTGATTAAGTTACTGACACCAATTTGTCCACACGGGAGTTGCTCTGTCTGAATTTGGTCATGAAATAAAATAAGAGGGATGCATGCACACAATCTGGGTTTCTTATTGAAGCCGTTCATCAGATGTTCTGCTACTCCACACTCTCGAAAGATTAGAGGCCAAACTTGCCACTGATACCAACTCCCATTAAATGCGGAGAAACTGTGCTGATTGACACAATGCGTCTTTGATAGTTTTATGCTCAAATTCTTCCTGCTTTTTATTTGAACCAGTCTATCCTTTAAACTACAGATGAGTTTGTTAGTTTGTGTTAGAACTTGATACTTAGTCCTCTGCATCCTCTTGAGAATGCAAGTTCAGGGTATAGATCTTCTGAGATAAAAGGGTCTCACGCTCTCCTTTTAGCTGTAACAGGATTAAAACCCCAAGTATTTAGGTTCCCTTCAAACAAAAGTAAATGCTGACAGTTTTGGCAGATATGAATCATTTCTAAAGCACAGTGAGAGTCAACTGACCAGCTTGACTTTGGTGTCTTTCTTTCGTATATGTCTGTTTTGCTCAGAAAAGTCTGTTCCTGACAGTAAACGCTATATTGATGGGTTTGTAGTTTACCATTGGGGAACTGCTGCAAGGTGGGAATAGCTCCTTCGGAGAGATTTATTTTTTCCCCAATTTTGACAATTGAATTGTTGAATTTTGGGGATGACTTTTCATTTTCTGTTGACTTTTTACATCCATTTTAGCAAAATTATGTCTGTATCGAGGGATGCTGAAAACCGTATTCCTTACCATTTTGGGGTGACTTTAATCTTTTTCTGTTTGTGACTCCTCTTGAGTTTATTTGTTGAGAGATTTTCCTTTTTGCAAACTACTGTCTTCTTTTGCTCTGAAATAGTTTTGAGAGCACCACCAGGAACTGCTGAGCTTAGCTGTTGAGAATACTGGAAAAAATGAAGTACAGGAAAATTATGAATTACATTAATTGAGAGATTGGGAATCTATGCTCTTTTTAAATAGCACTGAATAGCATAGTAGTTAAATAGCACAACTCTGATTTTTTCCTAGTATTGTGTGTTAGTTTTTTCTAATCACTTTGTCCATCTACTTCGATAAAATAAAATTAAGACAACTCACTACTTTTGTGGATCTATATAGAATTAGTGTATGTTCTTTTGTATACTTCTTCCTATATAAAAAGTAAGCTTAGTCTCACAGAGCTGTTCTAGGATCTGTACAGATAGGCCAGTCTGTTTTCACTTACCTAAAAAAGAACAGTTTTCAAGCCTTAAGCACTTTCCAGGGTATTAATGCAATTTGGTTTTGTTGATATTTCAGTGTATCTAAATGATGAGAGATCTAGCACACAGTCTGTCTTTGACTCCAAGTTTCTCCATCATAAATTCTTGACATTAACGGTCTCCTTAAGTCCTACTCTAATTCAAATATTCATTTAAAATGAAAACAGTGAAATACATATGCTGTTACAGAATACAAAATATACTCATTGAAAAAAACAAGAAAAGGGCAAAGAAAAAAAATCAAGAAATAGAAAGACCCTCTTCTCACTAGACAGAATTCCTACTGATATTCCCAAGTAAAAGAAATATTCACACAAAAGTATGTATTTTTCATGCATCAAATGAATATGTAACTTATCTTATAAAACCAGAAATTGTATATCCTGTATTGACAGATGCCTGTAAATGTCCATAAATACACTTTTGATACTTCTTTTATTTTTCTAATAAGGCAGGGGGAGGTCAGCCAATTACACACTCTTGAGAAAGGAAGTAGGATTATTACATTACCTCCTGCATCTGCTGTCCCTTAGAAAAGGACGAAACCAATGTTTTTAAACTCCTGTTTGTTAAGCCATGTGCCACAGTCTTGCTGAGACTTTTCATTTTGAAAATGGAAATATCGCATTTCGACGGTGTACGTTCATTGCTGGCTTCCTTGTCAGAGGCGTGCAGGGAGGAATAGGCAGAGTCTGCACTTCCCTTCTGCTGAGCAGGCAGGGGGAGGCTTCTTGTCAAACAGCACCACGTCAGTCGAGGTTCAGCGCTCAGCGATGGGAACGTGCTCTTCGTGCTCGGTACTGCTGAGCTTCCAGAGTAGCAAGTCAGATTGTTGTGGGGTAATGCCGGGAATCCTTTACGGTGAGTGGTGAGAGTGTGGCAATAAAAAGTACCTAAAGAGTGGCAAAAATAAGTGGGGTTGTCTGCTGAGCTCTGCGAATGCTGCGTATCCCACGGTGTTGGTGAAGTGCCCCTAAGAATGCAAGGACTTTCACCTCCGTCCCTTCCTGCGACTGCTGGCTCTGCACCCTTGCTAGAAGCTGATGTCATTGTCAAAGAGTCACTTCCTGAGCAAAGATGATGTAAAACCTCCCTCTCTTCTTTGATGTCAGCTGATATGAAAAAACCAGTTGTATACATAGAAGTAAAGCATATTTTCTTCTTTAGGGCCAGTGTAGAGGAAGTAGTTACACTCATCCACTTCTCTTCCGTTTGCCTTTGAGAATTTAATTCATTTTTGTCCTGTTCGTTTTTCCAAGCATCTCTTATAATATCCTGCTGCCTGGAGTTCTGGTTATAAGAGGTGTTATCTGCTGTGGATGAGATACTTGTTGTTTCTGAATTGACTGCTGAACAAAATACTGGAGTTTTCCAGTTTGCACGTCCATTCCATCGTAGTTCTCCTTTGCTGCCCTTTTGTCTCACTTCGAATTTTAAAGGGGACCAAAACACATCGTCGGAATGAGAAGTGAGTGATCCGCTGGTGGAAAAGCAGGGAGGGGTGGTTAAGGTGTCTGTCACAGATGTGCAAGCTGTCACCTTCTCTTCTGACCTAATCAAAAGCGACAAGTCTGAGGCTCTCTTGTCTTGTGGCAATTTAAGGAGATATTTTGGAGAAAAGGGATGTTGTTGTGGGACTGGAGTTAAATGACCAGGTTGCAGATGATGATTTTTAGAAGACGCATCAACAGTGTTGTCATTGAGAAGTGGTACTTTTGCTCCTGTTTTCACAAGACATGTTTTGACATCTTTATCTGTTGCATTGTGCAAGGCAAAAGAATTGCAATCACTTCCCCTTAATTCAGGCTCTAAGAATCCCACAAATGAAGCTTTTGAGATACCTGCTGAATGTGAAAGAAGGTTACCATCACTATAATTAAGAGCTTTTGTGGGAAGTTTGGTTGTTTCCATATTCTCCACATTCTGAGTACCTCCAGTGGATTCATTAATTCCTGTCTTTAATTTTTGTTCCTCTGCTTGACTGGAGAATTTAACCAGTGCTGTGGAAAGACACTGGGTGCTGGTGCAATAAACTCTCTCTGCTTCATTTTCTGCGTTGTTTTCACTACTGGGACCAGGGCAGGAATCTGAAATAATCTTTCCTGTCTTCTCCACTTCAAATTTCAGCTTTTTTCTTTCTGACGGTAAATTCTGGGATTTCCCTGCAGCTTCTCTGTTGTTGTTGCAATGGACCCATGTTGCAAATGGACCCCCAGTCAGGGCATGCTGGCCGGTTCCCATATTCCTGCTATGGTTTCCATAATTGTTTGAAATGCTTTTACGATCTGATTCAGATGTACTGGATTCTTTCCCAGGACTTGGTTTTTCCCATTTGCTCCTCTGTACTGGCAAGCAGTCATCATTCCTTCTGTTAGTGTTCAGCTGGCACTGAGCATTTTGAAGCCTCAGCTCACAACTGCTTGGAGCTGGTAATGTGCTGTTGCCATCTGTGTATTTATCTGTGTCACTGCCACAGAGATCTTGAGAAGTTTTGCTCATTGCAGTATGTGCACTAGGGTTTACTGGATGTGATGTCTCCATGATGTGGGTTGAACTGTCTGCAGTTTCCTCGGAGGACACATTCTGTGGAATATGATTACCATTAGCACAGGTTTCTGGTTTACCAGTATTCAAACCTGTTGTCACAAGGGAGGAAATACTGTCACTGACAGAGCTCCTGCCATCTCTTTCCTCAGTAATTTCAGTAGTGCTGACTGATTCCTTTGAATCAGGAGTGAAGCTTGCAATATCTGTAATCTTACTCCCTTTTTCTTTAATTTTGGTATTTTGACTGCTTTTCATTTTTTGGTAGATTTTCTTAAATGTTTCATCTCCATACATTTGCCATTTTTCTTGAGAGAACATCTTTAACTTCCTTTGATTGTGTTTCTTATTTTTAGCACTGATTACTTCTCCAGCCCCAAGCTTTTTATTCCCTTGCAACTCCTCCAACACAGGAGGATGATCAACCACATTACTTAGTGGCAAATCATCCACTGCTGTTTGTCTGACGAGAGCTCGGGGATGGCTATTAGGAAAATCCACTGAATTTGCAGCAAGATTGTTGCTAGGCAGCAAAACAGCAGTGTCTGGATTTACAGACTGCTTACTAAGAGAAAGTGGCTTTGAGCAGCCTGCTTTGTCATGTACCACTCGCGTGCCCTCCAAAAACGGCAAGGAGTTGCTCCGTGTGACAGGCACAGTGTCAATCGTGGTGGAGAACTGAGTGGGGACCGAATGAAAAAACATCGGCTTGCATTTTTCTATGGGTGCAAAGGTGGATTTCGCGGAACAAAGGGCAAGATTCTTTTTCCTGTTTACATCGCAAGTTCTGATGTCAAAATGGAAAGAGTCTTTGTATGTATAAGGCATTGGCAGGTCGATGCTCCCCTGTTTGGAGAGGACAGTTTTTCTGGGCCTAACGTTGTCTAACTGGGTATCGTCCACCACGCTTTTGTTATGAGAAATAAGTTTTGAGATGTGTTCTTCCAGCCTCTTTTTCTCTAGCATCACGGCTGTAGCTTTGTCAGCTACATCTGGCTTTGCAGTGCTTCCGGAGGCACACCTTAGGCTGCTGAAGGCAGTTTCGTTTTCCAGTTCTGTGCTGTGTTCACACAGACTGTGCAGCGGGCTGGGTGGTGCCATCTGTTGTTCTGTGCTGTCAGAGCGTGACAGATACCCTGAGTCAGTGCTCTCACACTTCTTTAGCTTGCAGTCAAATGGCTTGTAATCCCACTGTTTTTCTGAAGAGGTTGCTTGCTGCCTTTGCAACTGAATGTGCTTATTGGCAGTTGGACTTCTTTGCTCCTGGATCTTCTTTCTCTGGTACTGATCATTTGGCAAAGCTCCTGGAGATGATAAACTTCGAGGTTCTCGTTCAGGACCCTCCTGATTAGCCTTTGAACTAAAGGATTGATTCGTTGTTTCTTGAGTTTCTGAAGCAAATGACAAATTGTTTGTTGCCAGCAGTGAAAGGTCATTAGGAAGTTTCCCAGTGCCTGCTGCAGCACTGGTCTCTGAACTCACTTGTTTCATCTGTGTCCCCTTGTCTTCACAGGTGCCGCTAAGTAGTTTGCTGCCTCGATTTGATGTGGTGTTCTCTGTTGATTTCTCAATTTGCTCCGATATGCCACTGTTGTCAGAATCCAAGGGCAGTCTGGTATTGTTGACGTGGGTTTGAGTTCTTCTGTGTTTATACAAATTGCTTTGAGTTTTAAATGCAATACCGCAAGTGGTGCACGGGAAGGGCCTCTCTCCTGTGTGCGAGCGGATATGTTTCTCAAGGACACTTGGCTTCAAGCAATCTCGTCCACAGTGTTTGCAGATATATTTCCCAGCTTTTTTTGATTTTCCTGGGCTTCCAGCAGGTGCATTTACACAAGAATTTGGGGACGATAAAACCGGTAAAGTGCTCACTATGGTCAACGTTAGAGTTTGCCCAAGCTGTTTCTGAAGAATGGACTGAGGCTGATCTGTGCCTTCTGAAGGAACAAGTGGGTTCAGGATTAGAGGAATGCTATTGCTGTCCAGATTCACACAGCTCCTGGCAGCCACCAGGTGACTGCGTGGCTGAAAGCATCCTGCAGGAACGGGCTGGTACAGAGGTATGGTGAGGGCTTTTAGATACATGGGCTGCGACAGTGCTTGTTCCTGTTGAGGAAACACGCTGCCAGCGCTGAGGTCTGGAGAACCCTGAGCAGGCTGATGAGAGGAGGTTGGGACTGGTCCATCTGGTGGGGCAGCTGTAAAACCAGGCTGCTTCTGTGCCTCCATTTCAAAGGTTATCTGCCATATGCTCATGGATCTGTAAGGGAGGGGAAACAAAGCAAGTAGGGATCTTTGGATAGCAAAATTAAATAAAAACTATCAACTGCTGGACTGGGAAAGTCAGCAATTAAGAATATCACAAATCTTACAGACAAGAATTATTTCATTTTCCGATTGTTTCATCTTCTATTTCTTAGCTAGGAATTCCAGTTTGGTACCGTGTAAAGAGCATTGAACATGGTACTTAAAACCTGCAGTAAGTACTCAAAGTGTCAGAAATAAATCTGAGTATCAGATTTGCAAATGGAGGCTCCCAGCACCCCAGAAATTATACTATTTTAATTTTCTGGAGCCATATTCCCATTACATTTCTGTACCATGTTTTTTTAATTAATTTACATTAATAAATGTTAATATAGACACAGAACAAGTAAGGTTAGGAGGGACTTCAGGAGGTCTCTAATCCAGACATCTCCTCAAAGCTGAGGTCAGATGGGGTCTCTCAGGGTGTTACCAGTCTGGTTTCTGTCTCTGAGGTCACAACCAGCACGGCTTCTTTGGGCAGCCTGCTCCAAACACAGGCCATTAAACACGGCTGCAGAGTATCTGTGTTTACCCAGTTCAAGTGAGCTAAGGCTAAACACATTGCAACAAGTGATGCAAAACGAAAATATGTGAACAAAATGAAACTAATACCCTGTTTTACAAGTGAGATTTACATAAATACGTACAAAGTAGGAAAGATGGCATCAGAGCAAAATAGTGGGATAAATTCAAGCTGTCTTTTGTATAGCCCAAATTAATTTTCTATGATTAAAGGTGATATTATGGTATGCTGTTTACTTTTAGATGTTTTTAATCCCAGATTAAAACATTTTGTAGACACTTTTTGGAAAAAGTGAACCTATTTATTAAATCTGTTCAAATATATTCAAGGTTGGTGCTGGTCTAGATTATTTATTGAAAAAAAAAGTGCCTTGACTTCTTTCTTAGAAACAAAGTAGGAAACTATCAAAATAAGCTAGTTGAAAATTATTTTTTGAAGAGCTGATAGAGGCATCAGCATAACCTCTTGTAATTCTAGTTTGGGTGAAAATTAGAAGGTGATCTGTGAATGTTTACTCAAATTTTTATTCAGCTACACTCACAACTCCATACCCATTGGCTGTTCTGAATAATAGGCTGTTCTTGTGCAAACTGTCATAAAAATCCCATTTGAAATAACATAATCAGTGGCTAAATGTGAAATCTGCAATTTGTGGCCTTACTGTATAATCTGTAGTGGTGTTTCTGTACCTTCCTTGGATCATTTTAATAGGTAATCATTACTGAGAAATGGTAAAAAATGTACTCACAAGTATTTGAAATTTGGACTGGTTCTGTATGATACACACAGACACGATGTTACCATTATTCAAAGCAAAATCTCTGCTGCATGTAGTTACTGAGAATTTTGTAAATAACTCAAAGGAGAAATGGCAGACTCAATGTAACGGGTTTTGAGTATTCCTCAGTTACTGCTAGAGCAGTTAACAAAGGCGGTGAGTTGATATAAAGTGGGATGGAGATCCAGCTCTTACTTCACAACTGAAAATGGTATCATCTCACACACATCACAGGGAAAAATAGAAGGATAATTTTCTATTAATGATCAAATGGAACAGGTTAAGGTCAATGAGTTACGTGCTCAGTAATAAATGTAATTAGCATCTTAACAAATATACTAGGTATTCAGGTATTTTTCACGTTAAACATATGCACCATTGAAATGGAAAGAGAAAGTAAGCCTCTTGGTTATCAGTCTTCTGCAAAGAGAGAGGTTTTGCATATTAGGATATTGCCTTTAATCCTACTGATGATTTCATCCCTGTGTGTAGCTCACAACACAACTGTAAAGACTTGTCTCCTTGAGCAACAGAAAACTGAGGTACCACAAGCCTAGTAGCTGTTACTCTGCACTCCTCACTCTGCACCACTTCTGCAAGTTCTGTTGCTGCCTGGCAACTTACATTTCACAGCCAAGGCTGCTTCCAGTTTCTCTCTGATCGGCTTTGCTTATTGCAAGAATTGGAAAAGTGGAGGAAGAACCAGCAGTGCAGTCCCTGGGATGTGTTCTCTGACTTTTCTGCTGGTCATGAGCAAGGCCATTGGCTTCTCTGCAGGCATTCCCTGCACCAACAAAACTGCGGGGGAGCCCCTGAAGCAAGGGAGAAACCTGCCACCAACTGCAGTGGGCTCAGGGTTAGACCATTTATGGGAAAAGCATCAGCACCTGATGGGATTCCTTGTCTTCACCCAAAGATTTGAAAGTAATACAAATCCCAGAAAACCTGTAAAATGAACTGATCTGCACACAGCAATGTGTTAGATTTTGCCTTTTCTCCTTTCTCATAAATTTTGTGAATCAAAGTCAGTAACTAAGCATGGACATTTCTTGTCCACTTCAGAGATTTCTACATGGAGCAATCACTTAAGTGGTTTTGTAATACAGGTACTGACTATATTGATAAAAGAATGTTGAAAAGATATGGCTTGTTAAAGGAATTAAGTTGTTATCCATATTCTGCAGTGTGGTTAGCACTACGGGATAAAAGTGGATTTCTCTAATTTGCAAAGACAAATGGACATTTCAGGTCCATTTAAGATGGTTCTTAAGCTATACAGTCACCTTTATTTATAGCAATTTAAGGAAAGCATACGATAGAAACACTAGCAAGTGATAAGACATGAGCCAATGGTAGTCATATACTAAGTGTGCAGTAGGTTTTTCCAAAGATGTGAAAATAAAGAAAGGTTGAGAGGAGAAAAATACGCTGCAGGGCCAAGACTCAAAGAAGAAAAGTGAAGCCTGAGTACCATGTAGCTAAAACACCTAACAGGAACCACATCAGACAAAACAAGTCACAGCATCTGTGCTCCCCTCCTTCCCTGGAGAGAAGCGTGGAACTGTGGAATTCCCATTTCCACCCCAATAAGCCTGCTCCAGTGTCACAAACTGGGTGCTCTCTTTGAATGTCCTCATGCACGTGCACAGTTGAAGCCCTTCAAGGCCAGCCTGTAAACCAGTAGGACTGGTGCTGGACGGGTGTTTTTAATACGAATGCTGCAGGTCCAAAGTACCAGACTATCTGTGTAATTTTGCTTATGCTGTTAAGTTTCCGAAACACAAAACACAGTGTAATTCTGAGAATCTCTACTGTGCTCTGTAATGTTCTACAAAGAAATTACCTAAATGATTACAGAAGATTTAAAGGAAAGTTTTAACTAATGCAAAACGATCAAACTAAATGGTGATTCGCAGTCTTACTACTTTTAACAGTTTAATAATACATTTCTACCAGCTGTGGTGGTTTGCTGCTTTTCACAGCCAAAAAAAAAGATATTTTCTTCCTAAGTGAAACTTCTGTGGCTTGTATGAGCAAAATATGATCATACTTTTCACATCTGTCATTTATATTAAAAAAGCCACTATAGTTCTTGGTACACAGACAAAAATAGCTTGTCTCAAACTAATTCTTCTCCAAGGCTAATTCTTGTCTAAAGCAGAAAAACTTCCTTTGTTGATTATTCCCCCAGGCTCTGTTACTGAGCATCGACCTGTTGTTCTGAGCTCAATTTGTAACTTGTAGCATCCAACTACTGGTGTAAAAACTTGATTCTAATTGATAAGGAAAATTTTCTAATAAACAAAGCTAAAAGTACATTTTGGCCTGCCCAGATTTTTCTAAATTAGTTTCTTAAGCTGTCAAAACTGGTCAATACAATTGCATTAAAATCCAATTCTTTTGTTCCTAGTTTGAATGATACCTTCAGATACACACCATAGGAAGATCTGTGGAACGTTGAAAAGTCAAAAAGTTTCAGGCAACAAATCATCACAGCAGAAACTGTTGTATTCTGTATATAAGTAGAAATCATTTGGATAAGAGGGGTGGTATAGAAAACACATTTTCAATCCAGTATGTTCCACTTTTCTATAATTCTTTTTCCCTAATTCCAGAAATACTTTATAAAATTTGCTTCATTTTATCAGCACTGTTATAATAATCTTGGATTATACAATCAAAATATTTTTGTCCTCTGCATGGCACATGTAAATACACTGTCTACTGCCCATCATTATTAATAAAATCATGAAATGAACATGGAAAGACTTATTTCCTACACTTACTTTTTTTCTGATACACCATTAAGAAGAGCATCATCGCCTTTAGGCAGATGCAGTGCTCAATCTCCTGGCTTGGTGTGCAGATACAATCTGGAGACATAGAGTTAATTTACTTTTGTAACCACAGAGAAGCAGCTTTTCAACATCCTGAACATACATCATATACTATGTTATACTAGAAGTCTTTGCCTTTTTTGAAAGCTTTGGGTGATCCCTAACTTAAACATAAAACCAGAGAGCATACAGAAGTGGAATCCTCTTTAGTCTGTAAATAATTTTAGTTTACATACCTTTTATTGAGCCAGGCATTTCAGCAAAAGAAGTCTCATTTCTGTCAATACTTGATGCAAGCAGAGAGGAACGAGGACAAAGACTTGAAGCAGATCAGAAGTAGGAAGTTGGGGGTTTTCTCTCTCTCATTTTTTTTTACATTGGTGTCACAGTAACAACCTTCAGAAAACAGGAAGAGATGAAACAGAAGAAAATGAAGTAGCATTTCAGTCTCTTTGTAGCCTTTATCGCTGTTCACGTAGGAACCAATAAGCAGAATCAGCTGCCTTCAAAATGTAGGCATTTTGTACACTGCATTCAATCGTATCATTCAGTCAAATGCTCTGACACAATGGTGGGGGTTTTTTTCTTTATACCCCTAAAGGTAATTTGCTTATAACTTTAGAGGAAAAATGTTTAAAATGTGTTGGAAAAGAAGACAAAGGTGGAGAGAAAACGCTCACTGCATATGCAATGCTGAACCCATCCAGCTTCTTCTAATGGTGCCCTGCAGTAGGGTAGGAAGCAGTAACGGGGAGGGAAAATACCTCAGGAATGTCAAAAGCGT